AGGAAGTTTCCTTTGAATCCCCAAAATATTCGCTGGAGAAAATTATCTTCACAAACAGGATGCTGGTGTATCGCCTTCCTTGACTTTTCACGTCTAAAGTTCATGTCCAAAAGATGAATAAAATGAAGTTCATGTCCAAACAATTAATGGTCAAATCATTCAACTGCTTGTTTTTGCTGATGTGTAGCCACGTGAAGTCCATTTCTCCTCAATGGTAACAGGGGTGTTTATAGGCGTTGTTGCTAGCGGTACTGAAAGAGCCCACTCTAACTGAAGTACTAAGATTCCATGTCCATGAAGACCAAACTCAAATTTCCTTTGTTTTGCATATATTCTCATTCCACTTTTCAATAAAACTCATGAAGATAAAACAGAAATAACCCTGGCCGGTTTGGTTCAGTGGATAGAGCGTTGGCCTGCGGATTGAAGGGTCCCAAGTTCCATTCTGGTCAAGGGCACATGCCAGGGTTGCGGGCTCAATCCCCAGTGGGGGGGGGGGCATGCAGGAGACAGCCAATCAATGATTCTCTCTCATCATTGATGTTTCTATCTCCCTCTCCCTTCCTCTCTGAAATCAATAAGTAAAAAATAAAACAATAAAAATAGCCCAGCCAGGTGTAGGTCAGTGGTTAAGCATCCACCTATGAACCAGGTGGTAAAGGTTTGATTCCCTGGTTGCGATTGTGGGCTGGATCCCTTGTGGGGGCATACAAAAGGCAACCGATCAATGATTCTCATTGTTGATGTTTCTATCTCTCTCCTCCTCTCCCTTCCTCTCTGAAATCAATAAAAATATATATTAGGCCTGACTGGTTTGGCTCAGTGGGTAGAGCGTCTGCCTGCGGACTCAAGGGTCCCAGGTTCAATTCCAGGCAAGAACATGTGCCTTGGTTGCGGGCACATCCCCAGTAGGGAGTGTGCAGGAGGCGGCTGATCGATGTTTCTCTCTCGATGTTTCTAGCTCTCTGTCCCTCTCCCTTCCTCTCTGTAAGAAATCAATAAAATATATTTAAAAAAATATATATAATCTTGGGTGAAGACCAAAAAAAATAAAAGAAAGAAAGAAAGAGCCCTAGCCCATTTGGCTTGGTGGACAGAGCGTCAGCCTGCAGACTGAAGGGTCCCAGGTTCGATTCCGGTCAAGGGCATGTACCTTGGTTGCGGGCACATCCCCAGTAGGAGATGTGCAGGAGGCAGCTGATCAATGTTTCTCTCTCATTTATGTTTCTAACTCTCTATTTCTCCTTTCCTCTCGGTAAAAAATCAATAATATATATATATATATATATATATATATATTTAAATATATATCTTTCTTTATTAGTTTCAGAGAGGAAGGGAAAAGGAGAGAGAGATAGAAACATCAATGATGAGAGAGAATCCTTGCTTGGCTGCCTCCAGCACGCCACCCCCACTGGGAGAATGAAGCCCCGGGGGAATGTTGTCCCTGGGCCGGGAAATCGAAAACCTTGGGAACCCCTTCAA